TACAGACAACTATGACTGTTCTGTTTAGTATCCCGACTACTGTGACTGTTCTGTTAAGTATACATACGACTATGACTATTCTGTTTAAGATACAGACAACTATGACTGTTCTGTTCAGTATACCGACGACTATAACTGTTCTGTTTAGTATACAGGTGACTATAACTGTTCTGTTTAGTGTACATACAACATTGGCCGCTCTATTTCAGTATACAGACAACTATTGACTATTCTATTCCTGTACCTACTATATAAAGACTATTGTTCTTTTGAGTATACATACGACTATTGTTTTGTTGAGTAATGCATGTTCTGTTTAATATACAGACGACTTTGACCGCTCTGTTAAGCATACAGACGACTGTTGACTGTTCTGTTGAGTATAAAGACGAGTATGGCTGTACTGTTCAGTATATAGACGACAATGACTGTTCTGTTTAGTATACAGACGACTTTGACCGCTCTGTTAAGTAAACAGACGACTGTTGACTGTTTTGTTGAGTATACAGGCAACTTTGGCCGCTCTGTTAAGTATACAGAGGACGAATGACTGTTTTGTTGTATACACAGACGACTTTGACCGCTCTGTTGAGTATACAGAAGACTATATAAAAATAAGAAGATGTGGTATAAATGCAAACGAGAAAACTCTCCACAAGAGACCAAATGACACAGAAATTAACAACTATGTGTCACCGTACGGCCTTCAACAATGAGAAAACCCATACCATATAGTCAGCTATAAAAGGCTCCGAAATGACAGATGTAAAACAATTCAAACGAGAAAACTAACGGTCTAATTTATGTACAAAATAATAAACCAAAAACAAATATGATACACAGAAACAAACGACAACCACTGAATGACTGTTCTGATTATTATACAGACGACAATGGCTGTTCTGTTTAGTAAACAGACGACTATGACCGCTTTTTTTGAGTATACAGACGACTATGACTGTTTTGATTGGTATACAGACAACTATGCTTGTTCTGTTTAGTATAAAGACGACTATTACTGTTCTGTTTAGTAAACAGAAGACTGTGACTGTTCTGTTTAGTGTACATACGACTACGGTTGATCTGTTTAGTATACAGACGACTATGACTGTTTTCTGTTTAGTAAACAGACGACTATGACTGGTCTGTTTAGTATACATATGACTATGACTATTCTGTTTAGTATACAGGCGACTTTGGTTGATCTGTTTACTTTACAGACTATTATGACTATTATTTGTAGTATACAGACGACAAAGACTGCTCTGTTTAGTAAACAGGCGGCTTTGGTTGATCTGTTTACTTTACAGACTATTATGACTATTATTTGTAGTATACAGACGACAAAGACTGCTCTGTTTAGTATACACACGTCTTTGACCGCTCTTTTGAGTATACAGTCGACTATGACTGTTCTGATTGGTATGCAGACTATTATCACTGTTATGTTGAGTATACTGACTACTATTGTTCTGTTGAGTATACATACGACTGTAACTGTTTTATTAAGTATACAGACAACTACGACTGTTCTTTTTAGTAAACAGACAACTATGGTTGGTATGTTGAGCAACAGACGACTATTGTTCTGTTAAGTATACAGACTACTATGACTGTTGTGTTTAGTATACTTACAACTATGAATGTTCTGTTTAGTAACCAGATTACTTTGGTTGTTATGTTGAGTATACAGACGACTATTGTTCTATGAGTTTACAAACTATTATGACTGTTTAGTATTCAGATGACTATGTCTGTTTTGTTTAGTATATAGACGACTTTGACCGCTCTGTTTAGTATACAGACGACTATTGGCTGTTCTGTTGAATATACTGACGACTATGGTTGTTCTGATGAGTATATAGACTACTACGACTGTTCTGTTTAGTAAACTGACGGCTATGTTTTTTTCTGTTTAGTGTACAGACGACTTTGACTGTTCTGTTTAGTAAACAGACGACTATGACCGCTCTTTTTAGTATACAAACGACTTTGTTAAGTACTATACAGACGACTGTTGGCTGTTTTTTTAGTATACAGACGACTATGACTGTTCTGTTCAGTATACAGACGACTATTGGCTGTTCTGTTTAGTATACAGACGACTTTGACTGTTCTGTTCAGTTTACAGTCGAATTTGACTGTTGTGGTTAGTATATAGACGTCTATTGACCGTTCTGTTTAGTATACATACGTCTTTGACTGTTCTGTTCAGTTTACAGTCGAATTTGACTGTTGTGTTTAGTATATAGACGTCTATTGACCGTTCATTTGAGTATACAGACGACTAAGGCTGTTTTGTTCAGTCCTGCTCTAAAATACTTTAATATATCGTGTCTGTTGATGATTATTAACGTGTCGTGATGTGCACTGAAATCGGTACAACATGTTAAAATTACAACTACGTCCAAATATTGCATATTAACACTATGATGTTTACTTTACAGTTTCCATTCACAAGTTCTCAATTTTCAATAACTCTCGACACCTACTAATGACACTTACAATGTACAGGTGAGATGGATGGGTCGTATCAAAGTAAAAAATAATAAAAGAATAACATAATCGATTTAACGGTACTCAACTAGTTTTAAATGGATTTTGTCCTCTCTCAACACCCCCTCCCAGAGATTAACTCGTTTTAATGCCTTTTTTATATTTCTACATTTAAATATCCAACAAAATTACGGTGCGGATATTGTACCTTGACTGTCCGTCAGTCCGCCCGTAACACACTTGTGGATACTGTAGAGCTTGTGTTTCACAACGGATCTTCACCACTCTTTATGAACACATTCAATACAGTGTAGCTATAAGAAGGCTATTGGTTTTAAAGGTCATAGGACAAAGTCATAGGACAAGGTCACACTGCTACTTTTGGTTGCATGGGAACGCTCCACTTCAATTTTCCCTTGTTATTGTTGAGGTACTTCTTTAATGGACTGGAAGAAATTTGGACTCAATTTTCCGTTCTAATGTAGCATTATTCCAGCAGCACCTACCTATGGAATTGATATCTCTTTACCCATACGTTAATAGAAAGCATGCTACCGTCACAGAGTCTTTTTAAACATGCCTAAAATACTCTCATGATCAAACAGGTTTGTTGTCCCACGATTGCGGTTCGTGTGTCCTCATTACGGACCAATTGACCGTTGAACATAATGATGCCCAATACTTTACATTGATTCACCAAATTGGTAGAGATGGTCCGCTTTATTTCTCAGAAGACTGTGTTCTCCTGTGAGATAGAATATACAGGTGTACTAGTACCCAAATAACCACACTTTGGTAACACCATTTACTATACACCTCAACCGTTAGCCAGAAAATTAAAGCGAAAGTGTCGAACATTTTTAGTATTGCCACTGAATTAAGTTAAACATCAAATTGGCGAATCAAATAAACTATAATGTAATGAGTACATTATGGCGGCATCAGGAATGAATTTCACATAAATCTTACTGCAAGAATTGATCGTAAGTCTTACACAATTCAGTATATTTATCATCAATTGTAGTCGTAAGATTTTTTGTGAAACCAATTCCTTAGCCAAAATAAACAGACATTGCAGTGGCATGTGCCCATTGTATAAAAAGATGAAATGAAATATCGAGACCGTTCTCGTACTCAATTAAAAAATAAAAGTGAATTTTAATGAGCCAATGCTTTACAACAAAAATCTGTAGTATACTGGAAATCTACTTATAATATTCAGTACTATTTTGTTACTTTAAATTTATTGTAATATTTAGGTACCTGTATTTTACAGTACTTGATTTGTACATGAAATTTAAGTACTTCAGATTTTTGGTTACACCGTTAAATTTTCAGCATTTTGAAAGTTTGTCTATTTCAAATCTCTTATTAAAGTTATGATTTTCAAACATATGAAATATTGCGATCACTGTTGGTATTATTTCTGTACCAAAATTTTTAGTCCAATCAAGTACTGTAAAATACAGGTACCTAAATATTACAATAATTTTAAAGTAAAGAAATAGTACTAAATATTAAAAGTAAATTTCCAGTAATTCAGATTTTTAGTACATAAATAGTACCTATGCAAAAATAGCAGTGTAGGGAGCATTATCGAGTGGGGAGAGATGTCAACCCTTTTACAATTCCCGGATCGGTGAATGGCTTTGTTTTATGCATATTGTGTTTACCATTATAAATCAACGAATTCTAGTTACAAGAACTATATCAGTAAAAATAGCTGTATATGATATATATCAGTCAATTTGTATTATATCTATAGGATATCATTTTCTTAATGAGAATTTCATTCATTCCCCACGCCTTTCACTGCATTTCTTGGGATGATTCAGTGATTATTCTTTTATGTTTTATTAAATATCTTAATCACACTAATCGATCTCTTCTATCCCTTTATGAATCGAAAGCATCTACTCGTATAACGATTTTTCAATTATTTAACGGTTACTTTAACGCAGAAATTTGATGAATAATAATTATTCAGAATTTTTGTGATTCATGGTCAGTACCGTAAAAAAAACGTTTGATGAATTAATTTGAAGGAATTAAGGCGTAATTATGAAATACCGTATGGTCTATAACTTTCTTTAATATTTAGGGCTAGATAAGGTGATAGTGAAATATATTTCATTTCCGTTATATTTTAAGGTATCGTGTATGAAGAATACTCCCAAACTATTTGAAATTTAAACAAAATTAAATTTACAGGTGTTAACATGTATATAACCTGTATAAGGAAATCAGTTATTTCCTATTCGTACTCAATAGATCTTTTAAGATCGCTCAACAATGTGTTAACTTGTTAATTTCCACGTGTTTAGTCACTCCCACTAATCAATAAAACAATCCAATCGTAATAATCGGTTGCAATAGTGGACGGGGTTTTCCTACGTTCTTAATTCCAAATATAGGAAACTAATTTGCATAAAAAGTGAAATGAGAAAGTATATAAAGCAGTTGTTGACAAAGAATCATTAAATTATTCTACTGTATTGAACAGAGAAACTTGATACTCTATAAAAATCAACTAATTTCTGGAATTTTTCAAACAAGACTGCTAACAGAAAAATATTTGACCGTAACATTTTCTACTGTTTGATTTTATAAAGCTAACAAGATGTCGATTGTCCTACCGCAGTTTTGTCTGGAAAAAGAATGTGCTGAGGAAATGGTTATGTTTGCTGGAAACTCCATCCAACCGATAAATTTGCCGTTAATTACAGAACAAGACAATGTTTTAGTGATGCCATTATCCACAAAATCAGAAGTTGTATGTTTCTTTAGAAACGGACAGAAATTACATGGAAATGGACAATAAACTTGTGAAAAAGTAAGGAAACAAACAGCTCATCCGTCCACTTATCGTTATGTTATTATTGTTGTGAAGTTAAACTCAGGGAGATATCTAAACTGGCATCTTATAAATCCTGTTATTTTGTTAATGTAAGTAAAAACTTTATACGAATTAACTGCATAATTATTTTGGTGAAGAATGAAAATAAATATGGTGAAATTTGGTTGATTTATGATGTAACTTGTTAAGTTATAAACCTCAATTGGATAAATATAATCAAATCACTTTATTGGAAATTAATTCACATTTGACATTCATAAAATTAATCTTGTTGTACGTTTAGCATTTACCTTTACGACATTACAATGTATAAATACTACGTTCATTCAGTAAAAAAAGGAAATGCACTTTTATCGATATTTTCTTAACTTAAATGTGTAAAACCTATTTCTAATTTTTGCGTATTTTCACAGATTATAAATGCATGTATATGCTCTTCGTTTTTATTGCATTTGAATAAATATGTCTTTTTTTTGCTTTCAATTATTATTTACTTTCAAATAAATTATAACGGTTTCTTCTCTTTTATCATTGCAGATTCATCAACTCATTTCATCAGTGTCAGTGAGTCCATTATTTGCGTCACCACCTTCCAAATACTTCAGATGTTTTCCAAGATTATCATCTACGCATAACAAACATTGCTAACAAGACTGGAATACTTGTATGACATGTTCTGATTGGAGTAAGCGTCGACATAAAGCATTATGTGGCAGGGTGAATGCAGAATTTCCTTTTTAAGACCTTGTATGTCAGTTTAGAAACATTCCGATGATATTTATTGTCTTATTTTCTGTTTTAGTGTACATCTATAGATGATAAAGTTGTTTTTTGTTTACAAACTGTTGAATTTTTGTTTGTTAATTTTATTGAAATAAAATGCTATTTATTGATTTTTTTCTTTAAATTTGTCCAAGAATGTAATAATTCGGTTTGACTACATTATTGTAATATGATCAATTTCGAAGAAAATATGTTAGTCTCTTGAACAGACAGAAAACTTCGACACTTTCAAATTTTGGTAAATAAGGAATTTCATTCGGAGTTGGAACTTTTTAAATGTAAGAGTTCCCATCCAAATCATGTTCATCGAATATATAAAATTTGGATAGTTAAAAAAATCAAGACTTTGCGAATCCCTCATTATTTTTTTACTGTACTTGGTATATAACTGTGGTAGTACAATGTATCCATCGATCAGGTTTCAAATGGCATCTTAAATTGGGTTTTTAGAAGCAATACGGTACACGCTTCAAACGTTTGGCTTGAAGCGACCTGAGATGGTAAATGACTTGAATGACATACTAAAATACAATTTCATTTTATTTAGTTCAAATGCATTGTATAACGTTCTGATCGATATCCGTATATGACTGCAAGCACCGATTTAAAACCTATTTAATAATTTTGAAATTACGACACTTGAATTGACAAAAAATAAATACAAAATGATTTCCTTGTCAACAACCTTATGTATTGGCATTTCGTTTCAACTTAACTAGAATGTCAATAGAACTTTATCCTATTTTGAGACTCCTTGGAAAATACTGAACCAAGGAATGTTTTAGGGGAACATCAGTTATATTTAGATATATGTCTCTCATATCTCGATTAAAACCTAATTTATTATATTCCGTTTTAGGTTTAATCTTATCGTTTGATATGAAAAAAAATAATGTTAAACCCAAGGTAAATTCCCACAATGTAAATACACGAATGCGTATATATCTACAAAAGTACTTTTTTGTGAACTAAGAGAACTTGGAACATTTGAAATAAGGAGAGAATAGATACCTTGAGGACAATAAACAATCCAAAGTACTATCAAAACAGACAGCACCATGACCAAAAAGATAAACGACAAAAAACAAAATACAAACAAAAAACCAAACAAACAACAACTACAAAACACTACATAGAAAACTATAGTTTGAGCAACACGAACTCTAACCTTTACCCTAACTCATGTGTGCTGAAGGCTCAGTTCCACTTGTGGCACCCGTTGTGTTACTCACTTATGTTGGATAAGCTTGTATCGTACAAATATTCCAAACCAAGAAAAAGACTACATCAAAGAAAAAAAATGGCATATCGGAGGAAATTTTCTCCGTAATTACATATTGTCATCTAACAGTTGTTTTTCGCCTGTTTTGAGATATTGACTAGAGTTGTTAGTCTGGATACTGGATTATTCCGTAGAAATCAGATAATCTGCACCTTGGGTAGAAATTTTATGCATCTATTAAGACAAAGTTCACTTGAAATACACAAGTAATTATTTCTGGAAAATGTGTACATGGAACAACTCAGAAAGAACGTTAACAGGCTAAAAGTCTTTAAACAACTCCATTCAATGACATTTCCCCTGAAATCAATTGTATTTCACCCACATGGTCAACAATGGGGATAAATCTGCTGACTGCAATATTGAAGAATCTTAATTCTACTTTTCGGAGATTCATAGGCAATTAAAATTGACAATAGAATGGCAAACACGAAAGGTACAAGGATACGTGGGTCGAGAAGAACATAAATCAATTTTACAAATATATATGTAATTTCTACTAAAAGTAAGTTTTGTATACTAGTATATGAAGAAACAATTTGGATTGAAAATTAATACACATAAGAACTTTCAATTACTCAATACAATCAAATATTTGTATATCAGTGTGTTCTTGAAAGGGGGAATGGAAAATAAATAAATGCTGTTTGCTTAACGTACAGTGGCAAATATTGCATGCATATTCAAGATAAGAACAAATACAAGTCCCTAAGAATCGTACTGCAAGGATTGTTTACGATAAGAGAGCACAGAACACTCCCAATTCGAGATATTGACCCCTGTTATGAATGGACGTAGATGCGTACTTATACATCCCGCGTACTCAAAACGTACACCCTGCAGTTTAGGTCTAATTGCATGTCGAACGGGAAAAGTCCAGGCGACCATATATCTAAACCAAATTCAACCCTTGTGAAAAGGAAAGAAAAAAGCATATATAAATGCTTGGAAACAAAGGAGTTTTAAAAGGGCCAATAATTTTGCTCATTTACTTTACATGTTTTTGTAAATACAATTGCATCCATCATATCCTTCAAGTATATAGAGTTGGAATGGTTCTTGAACTCTTAGAGTTTGACCAGTATCCAATCCCACATAGACTCATGTAAGACGGATTTTTTCTCCAGGGAAAATCTTAGTATATGGCTAACGACGTCCTATAGTATATAATAGGAATACGGTTGTACTGGAAGTTCGTCTGTCTCTTGTTTTTACGATTATCTACAGATGCGTGGGTATTCACACTTTCGTTTTGTTGATCTTTTATACAATCGGAAACCTATTAAAATCATTAACCATTATTGTTATTGTTAATATAATAAACCTATTACCATTATCATTATCCATATTTATTATTTGTTTATTTTAATTAAGGATACTGCATAGTTATATAGACAAGACCATTTAGTCCATATCTAGATCTTTTTTATTAGCTGTTTAAACAGATAGAGGTCTGAAAGCTAGGATCTATCATAACACACACCATGGTTTCAGTGTTCTTGTTGTCAATTCCCCCATTATTCACAGATAGATGTCTGAAAGCTAGGATCTATCATAACACACACCATGGTTTCAGTGTTCTTGTTGTCAATTCCCCCATTATTCACAGATAGATGTCTGAAAGCTAGGATCTATCATAACACACACCATGGTTTCAATGTTCTTGTTGTCAATTCCCCCATTATTCCCCGATAGATGTCTGAAAGCTAGGATCTATCATAACACACACCATGGTTTCAGTGTTCTTGTTGTCAATTCCCCCATTATTCTCAGATAGATGTCTGAAAGCTAGGATCTATCATAACACACACCATGGTTTCAATGTTCTTGTTGTCAATTCCCCCATTATTCCCCGATAGATGTCTGAAAGCTAGGATCTATCATAACACACACCATGGTTTCAGTGTTCTTGTTGTCAATTCCCCCATTATTCCCATATCATTATCCTTAGCCTATAGCGTGTATGTATCTATATGGGTACGATAAAGTCCATATCATCTCCTTAGCCTATAGCGTGTATGTATCTATATGGGTACGATAAAGTCCATATCATCTCCTTAGCCTATAGCGTTTATGTATCTATATGGGTACGATAAAGTCCATATCATCTCCTTAGCCTATAGCGTGTATGTATCTATATGGGTACGATAAAGTCCATATCATCTCCTTAGCCTATAGCGTTTATGTATCTATATGGGTACGATAAAGTCCATATCATCTCTCTAGCCTATAGCGTTTATGTATCTATATGGTACGATAAAGTCCATATCATCCCCTTAGCCTATAGCGTTTATGTATCTATATGGGTACGATAAAGTTCATACCATCTCCTTAGCCTATAGCGTTTATGTATTTATATGGGTACGGTAAAGTCCATATCATCTCTCTAGCCTATAGCGTTTATGTATCTATATGGGTACGATAAAGTCCTTATCATCTCTCTAGCCTATAGCGTTTATGTATCTATATGGGTACGATAAAGTCCATATCATATCCTTTGCCTATAGCGTTTATGTATCTATATGGGTACGACAAAATCCATATCATGTTCTCGTTATCACATAGGATGTTTTTTGATTAATTGTGTCGTTGGATTGCTGTCTCATTAGCTTATACCCCCACGTCTCTTTTATGCATAATTCATATTCATTTCTACAAAAAAACTTAATCCTCCAAAGGGGTTATGAAAAAACCGAATAAACCCATCACACAATAGAGTGAATCAGTATCTCCATCTCACGTGCTCCACCTACGACAATCATGTCTACGTGTTCATATATTCTATAGGTCACATGAAACAAAGCAACATGACAAAGAAATATTTCAGCGATGTACAAGTTTCAAAGTCCAAATGCCATGTAATGTAGGGCTTAATACTTGCATTTGGTTTCAGGCTATTGAAGGGAAAAAATCAAAAGACAAATTTTTGTGGCTATTCTTTCATGTTTTATTTTCAACAGTTGAAAAAAAACTTTTAAAAACCCGCTAAATGAACAGAGGGCAAGGTGTTTCTTTTTGGATAATGATTAAGCGTACTTGTCTATAGAGTTAATTGTACAAAGAGGGTGTTTTCTTATATCAATAAGTGGAGTAATAAAATAACGTTAAAATAGAAATAGTATATTTTCATCTCAGAGGAATTTAATGTAGTCATTTTTTCTCTCTCACAGATAACACTGTGTGCTCTTTTGAATCTCTGAAATGGGGTCTTATTAATATTTTACTATAATTCAACTTTCAATTTTCTAGTCTAAGCAATAAAAACATTTTTTTTTATTCAGAATGTACGGAAATTCATTATCGTCTTTAAGTTTGTTCATAATATAAAGTCAAAATCTGGAACGCCTCAGCCATGTAAATATCATTCAAACTTTCTCCTTTGTATGTTTTTTGTAGCATAGATTATCCTTGAAATTGCTCACATACCTATGTACAGTTAACGACAGGCGTTGCTTTTGAGTGAAGGACAGCAATTATCTTGCATGGTTGCACATTTAAATATAGACTTGACTGCATTATTCATACATCATATATAGTTCATTATATAATTTATAACAGTATGAGAATACAGAACTGATAGTAAACATACGTTAGTGGCATATATTTTTAACCCAACAAAACAAGCAGCTAACAAAAATAGAGATGTAGATCGAGGTCCCTGTACGGTCTTTGTTTATTTGCCTCATAATACCAGACAATATGTGCGTTTTCCTCTGACATTTTTTACCTTGCTTTCTTGATAGACTTTTAGGTATGAATGCAAGGGAGATATTGGGTGTCCATTAGACAACAAACCAACGGCACAAATAACCAACAAGACAATGAGAGG